GTCTGTATGTGGAATCGTAGCTCCTACACTATGATTCTAATTATTAGCTAGTATTTATTAGATTTTTCGTGTTTGGTTTTTATTCGGGTTTAATTAAGTTTTATAATAATTATAAACTAATGTTATTGTTACATTATTTGCGTTATATCTTGAGGCGATTAATATCTCTTAAAATATTTACCGTACATCCGTCTGCGTTACACCGCTCCGTATCCATATAACGCCTAGACATATCATTTTCCCTTCAGCAACAAGAATCTAGTACTCGAGGTAGCAGATAGGTAGGTAGTACTTGTGGATTGCGCATCAAACCATAGAACTCAACTAGTGTAGGGCACATGATACCATATAATACTTCTCATAAACACGACCCCAAGATTTCTTATTTTTATAATTTCTCGAAGAACTTGACTAATATTTTAATCGTAACTTCTAAATAATTCCGCAATGTGTGTGAATCATTGTGTACGTTATATCTTGAGCAAATTAATGACTGGTTACTACAAGATTTTGCTCGTCTATTCATAAATAGTTTGGGGAAAACCATGAACACGTAACAGTGGTGAAGTAGCCACATAAATTGAAAAATGCCTGTCTTAAGGGGAGTGTATCCGCGCAGTAAATTTATGAGGAAGGTATCCTTAACTATTCGTCCAATTATTCGTAGAATGCGTCTCCCTTACCCAAGCGCGATAGCAATGCTTTCAATCGAAATTTTGCCTGCATTACTTTCCGATTTACTCTATTATTATAGTAAATATAAAGGTCTTTGTTATTCTGAAAATTCTTTATAGTTCCAATGTCTAGAACATTTGTTTCATTTTTTTATACTGCCTTGAATTGTTCATACGAATGAGGTAAAGATCCTTTTAGTGTGGTGTTTCGTTTTGTAAATCGAATTGTTCAGTTACGTGTAATTAAAACAAATTTGGTTAAAGACAATAAAAACATATATCATGTATTTAATATATACACATACATATATGTTTTTTAATTAATTATGGTAAAATTTCGACAACTAGGCGATCACTAGTTATGTTAAAGAAAATTAACAATGTGGTGTAGTCGGCAGATCTAGGCTCAAGATTGATACCTCGTAAGCGATGTAACCGATATCTAATAAACTGTTTGCGTACCACTCGATATCGAAATATTGTATGTTGACTCTATATATAATCATGGTAACTGTATATTATCGTCTATACTATTAGCTCTAACTAATAAAATAACTAGAGGTCGCCCTGTGCTCAAATTCAAATTCAAAAATCATTTATTCATGTAGGACATATTAGCCACTTGTGTTTTGTTTGTTTTTAATTTTTTCCCTACCGTCCAGTTCAGTATACAGATCCAATTGAGAAGAACTGAGTCGAAATTCCACCATAATTAATTTAAGATACAGTAAGACTTTCTCTAGACTTTGTCTTTATTTTTATAGATAAATAATATTAATCTATTCTCAATTTGATCACAGACTTTAACATTAAACAAAATAATATGTATGCGGGTTTGTTAAATACATGGTAGTGTAATGTTGTTTTTATTGACATATTTTTAATAAATAATATAAAATAGATATTAGCAATCTGCATTCCTACTCTATATAAACTATAAGTGTGCGATATTTCCTTTGTGCAATTTTCGCAAAAAGGGGTACAAAGATTTTGTTTCAAGTGTTAATATTATAGATAATAAGTTTTTATTGTATATAGAATAATATTTATAATACAAGAAAAAAGAACTATTTAAATGTAATAAACGAAAGGCGGCCTTATAACTTAGAGCAATCTCTTACAGCAAATTTATTACTAACAAAAATGTATAACTATGGAAAGATAAGAATACAGTGCCCTATATGTATTTTGCACCAGTTTTCTGAGAAATTAACCGTGATGCTGTGACTTATTATTGAAGAATTTATTACAAAATCTTGTGTAATATTGTCTATATGATATTGAAATCTTCAACAAAATCAAACGGTCGTATTCCTCCTCAAAAACTGGCAACTCACCTGCAATGCCCATGAGCACCCGCAACACCAATGTTGAGGGTGCTTATAGGCGGCGGTATTCATTTACCATCAGGTGAGCCGCAAGCTCCTTGTACCCTAAGTTATTAAAAATCTTTTTGTTTTTGGTTAAGATAAATCAAATTAAAAATAATTTATTCATGTAGGACATGATAGTCGCTTATGAACGTATTTTTTTTGTATTAATACATTTTCCCTACCGTCCAGTTCAGGATACATATTCAACAAAACAAACTGGCAAGAAACTCAGCGTATTTTTTTTTCAAGTTTTTTTACGTTGTATACTTATGTAGGTGTATATGTCTAACATTAACTGAAGAACCGTGCATGAACTATTATTCACATGGACATTTGTCTATAAAAATCCTGTCTTAAAATTTTTGCAGTTTTAACTTAACTGCACTTGAGCAAAGCTGCGGGAAACTGGTATTTAATAATGTAATAACCTTTGTACATACACATTATACCTAATAAATTATTATACTAAATATAAATATGCAAATGAACTATATAATCTAATATGCAAATTGGTAGAATACTAACATGTTTATTTATAACCTAATCATTCCTCAGTAATAGCTTTTGTAATATAGTATAGTACGATTTTTTTTAATTGATGATAATGAAATGGTACTCCGGCCTGCTCTAACGGTATACGCTGGCGGGGCACCAGATAATATAAGATGAGTATGAGCATTACTAAAACACCCCATTAAACGAATTTTTTAAAGATGTAGGTAAGTGAGATCGGATGTTTTGGTAATTTTTCAAGTACTACTGATCAATTTTGAACATTCTTTTAGTATTAGATAGAAGATTTATTGAAATAGGCTATTGACTATATAACATCACGCTACGACTAATAGTAGCGGCGCTTAAAAATGTTCTAAAAAAATTGATCTGTTTCTCTGCGTTATTCTAGGAAATGGCTTATCCGAATTTTGGTTAGGATTACACTAACTCAGTAAGCGTCACTTAAAATTTTGTTTGTTTTCATGTACTCGTATATTAGCGACAGTTTCCACTGTTTGTTATCAGGTGAACCGTCCATTTTATGTTTTATTTATTTATTTATTTATTTATATTTTGTATTAATATTTCCAGTTTCATAGAAGATTAACTCGAAATAAAACATTATTACCTTTAGTGCGATCAGGTGCGGCCATACTATTATCATCCACTAAAATATTGTTATAATGAATGAATACTACTAATAAATAATTAGTACTTAGTATAACATTAGTAATTAAAATAACTTGTTTTTCGTATACTTTTATAATGAAATTTATTTCTGTACATTTTGTATGTCGTGCGCTAATGGATTTCTAGACGCGACTGCAAGCACAGTAGATAACCTCGCGTTATCATAGTCGCTTGTTTACCTAACCCGGTAATGCTAGTGGCTGGTCTGTTGGACCCAGTGATGAAGTTAGGTAATTTTCAACCAAATTTAAATGTAGAAGTTTACAATATATCTATGTATAATGTTTGCGATTTCATTGTATTGGTGAATAATAGTTATTCTAAAACTTTTATTGATATTTCTATCAGTAGGGATTACGGTATAATAATTTCATTGCATTTTTTTTATATTTATTTTTTTCGTTACAATAGATTTTTTTTTCCGTACCAATTTTTCCGCAATTATTATTTTGGCAAAGAATTAATTATTTACAATCTATGTAAGTAGTGGAGTTTTGCTGCAATTTCCACGGAAACGAGAGGTAAAGCGCGGGCGAAATTGCGGGCAAAAGCAAGCAATAAATTCGTAAAACGATATTTCTGACTTGAAATATAGTTTGGCTTCGGGACTTGTTTATCGTGACGTCACTTCATGATGATTGCATGACAGGCATTCTTCCAATTGCGTTCACAATTAAATTGTTCATTATGAAATATAGAAGTAAACACATAGCTTATTGTCGAACTAGTATATCATGCCAGGTCGTGACAAAGCTTCTCAAACTTTTGTACAGATTTTTATTTATTTCAAGATCACATCAAGAAATGCTGAAAGTTTAGTATCTACTTTCTTGTCTACTATTAACAAGAAATTTAAATTTTGTGAATTTTGATATAATTCTACATTTTGTATTTCTATATGTTGACACAGACAAACATTATATTTTATTTAATATGGATGAATAGAGTATAATGTTTTTTTTACAAAAGTTGCGGTATAAATATTTTTCTTTCTCATGTTATTTAATTTTTTGTCACTACTAACAATGATAAACAAACTGACAGTTAATTTTTGTAGAGTTTCAAACATTATAGCCCGGAACGGATATTGCATTCGAATGAATTCTAAAAGTGAACTCATCACATGATATGTGATCATTGAACATTATACTAAGTCCCTATGATGAAGAAAGTTTCAGACCACGTTGAGATTGTGGCCACGACCCAGGGGTAATACGGTAAAACGCAAGCTATTGTGTTGCGTGATTCAAAGGATAATTTTACCTTATTCTACTAATACGGGAACTTCCATGAATTTTATTGATTTAAGTTATTCCTGAACTCGTTGCGTTTGTTTGGAATTTATGGATATGTAGGCGGCTATATTTGGAATAATGTGCACAAAATGGCTCGCAACCTTCAATTACGTATGCACTACGAAAATTTCGATCCGTTGGCACGCATCCAGGTCATTGCGTTTTCTCTTTGCTTTTATAACTATTTTAGGTTTTTAGCACGTTGGTGCTGTGTGCTATCTGGTAATCTCTGTTGTTCTTTGACGTAAGGTTATTTCCTTCCTAAAAAGCTACTGATAAAATCGTTAAATGTGAACACAATGTAAACATATTATTTACGTCATTGCTTCCATTAACAAAATAAAATACTTGATTATTTTTACCTGACCTTCAAAATATTTTAATCAAACAAAATGATTATAGAAATTTAAAACATTCCAAGTTAAATTTTTATGTTTTATCACCGATTATTAATATAATATTGACACGGTCTAATGGACCGTAATCGCGTCACACGGTCAAACAAACAATCGAAGTGTGACAGTGTTGGGGCATACTATCGCATTTTCCGGAGGCTGGCAAGCTTGCGGCGGCGGACGGCAGTGCCGCCGGCGCACGCGCACCGAAAGCATGTGCTGCGCGCCATCGCGATGTATATAGAACCAGCCGCGTTCCGCGCCTCCAGCGCGGAGTCCCTCGCCGTCTCCGAAACCCCGCCCGCTGTTTGGATACAGTGCTTACCGTCCCCGTTATTCGCAGGCAAGAAAGCGCCCCTCAAAACATACGAAGAGGTGCAGCCCCTGCTGCAGCAAGGCCGGAAGAGGGATCTCAAGATCCTCATAAGAGAGAACTCGTGGCCAATCAACAGCGCCGTCCGCGCCTCGCTCTGGCCGGCCCTCTGCAAGCAACACCAGCATGGGAAGTCAATGCTCGACGGATTCTACTGGGACATGGTTACGCAGGTCAGTGATCTTTATGTTACGCAATGACACTTGTATGTTCAAGGTGCACAACACTCTCGTTCGGATTCGTACAGATTTTTCTTCTGACTGAAACCTAAAGTGACGCCAATAAGAGGTGTTATCTCGTGAAGTAGGCTCTGCTCTCTCAAGGTTATTTGTATTTACTTTGCGCAACGCTGCCCAAATGTTTGTGAGATATCGCCCTAAGATAAGGAGGTGGCGTCCAACATGAAAGTCCATGGTTTTTACCCAATTGACAACGAAATGAGCTAGTGTTATCGTGTGTACTTTCAAATATAAGTCTATTTATGTGTATGTTTGAACGATTCTTGGGTGCAATCTGTTACTAAACCTAAATGGCTTGATAGATTTTAATGAATGAGATGTCGTTAGATTCTTCTTAATTGTGGGAGTGCTGTAGGCTATATGGTAAGACTATGAAACAAATATGGCGGCAATAAACAGTCAATAATCGGCAAAATAACACAGTTGTATTTTTTACTGAGTCACGTGCATTTGTTTAACGATCGACATGGCAACTTACACTCATAAGTACTTATGAATTGATATATTCTTAATTGCATTGGTATTTATCTACATGTATTTATTTAATGGTGCGGTAAATAGAAGTATTATTAACTATGGAATTACACAAGTGGCCAATAAATGTATCGATATCGAATTGAACGCTACCGCACGCACGAGATAGACTAAGATGCCGGTATTTGCTGTCTCGTTCTATCATGCGTGCGATAGTGATCGATATGTTATCGATATCGATTTGTCCGAGTCCTTATGTGTTCAAATTGTTAGTTGACGGATCTGTCTTCGACTGCAGCATCGAAATTCAAGTCTCGTAGACTACAAAACCGATTTCTAAATCACTGGTTCAGTCTTTGTAGAACAACCTTGCTCTTTATCTCCTTATATTAGTATTTGAATTTGGTAACCGGTCATTGTTACTTTTGACTAATAACTAGACACCAGTTTTGGGTAAAAATGTTTTAAACTGTTTTCACGATTGTTTACAATTCCACACATTACATAAACGGGATATTGACTGTGATAATATTATTTATGAGCTCCCGACTACGTACCGGGTCGACTATCTGGAGCTCATAAATAATATTATCGAGGTAAATAGATATTTATGGACATATAAACGGGATCGTTTATATGTGTAGAATTGATAAAATTAGTACGTCATGTACCTCAAAATATTGTCTTGTAAAAATCTTGCAATAATCTTGAAATTTATAAAAAAAAACAAAGTATGGTGCATTCACAAAATCCTTGACTCATTATTTGTGATCCATAGGTTTACTCTGGAGTGTAATTTCAATATCGATTCAAATCATAATATCTTAATTCATATAGGTCTTTTACAGACTCTTATGATATGTCAAATTTACCATCATTAATGGGACGGGAGAGCATAAAAGTGATAAACGGCGTAGACCAATGTAATCGAATTTATTTCAAAAGTACACTGGTAGTTTATAATAAAAGAATATTCGGTTGTAACAAAACCGAAACAGTGTTTGAGTGTGACTGTGTATCGCTAGGTCCTTGTGTACGACATCAACGTGCGCCCGCGCATCCTCCGCGACACAATGGGATCGTCTCGCGCATCTTAATTAGCCGGCCAGTTAACAATAGCCGACTAATTATACCACAGGTGCTGCCCGTAGATAATGAATGGTAGTACCATGAAATCGTTGTTTTATACGTTTTCAATCTCAACAAGTTGGAACATGTGTTTAATTGTATTAAAACATGATTAATTATAAAGACTAACTCATTGATTACACATTTTTTTGTGGGTGAGTTTGTTAGGGTTTAATCCATAGTGTAGATAAATATTGTGAATTATAAGTATCTTTAGCTGTTTTAGTGTATGTAGTGGTACTAAAAACAAAGGTAATACGAACAAATAAATATGTTTTTATATATTTGTTTTATAAACTCATAACATATTACATCACACATTATTGTTTATTTTGTTCGGTAAGCACACTGTGACCTTAGGAAATGGAGGCATTGTTATTATTATTTTTATATTGCAAAAACTTTATGGTTTTTGAGTTATCCATTTTTACAAGTTATATCACGATTGGTACTAATTTTGATTCTTGGAAGAAAATTTAATGAAATAAACATCTGCAAAACAAATATGGCAATAAAAAACAATAAGTGTTGTTTGTGACGTTACTTTTTGTGATCTATAGGGTTTACTTCCTTGTTGATACCATAAAAACATTGTCGCTGTTGGTAGTATTTTTTTTATTAAGGTATAAATACTGATATTGTATTTTTTTTCGCCCGTATTAAAGCAATACGGTATATCGTTGTATTACTATCCCAAAGGGATTTCTTTGTTTTATTAGTTGTTTGGGCTATTGTCAGGTGCTTGAACCTATAGTACTGCGACCTACAAAGATCTATGTGCTCGCCCTATTTCAGAGTTTGCTACTAGAACCATCAGGGACAAATATTGAAGGATGTCCTTAGGAGCGATGGTTTTTATCTGATTAGGATAGAGTGTAAACTTTTCAAAGGAGACTTTTCGTTTATGCATACAACCACATAGGATGTGTAGTGGCGTTTCCTCTTTAGTTTGGCAAAATCTGCAGATTATTGTTCTGTACAGGTCTAGGTTTGCCATATCCCAGAGGGATAGATGTATCTTCGATTGCCAACGTCAAGATGAGAGCAACATTAGCCATTTCAATACTTATATTTGAATCCGACGTGTCAATTTTTGATTTGTTCTCTGTGTCATCATCATCATCATCATCATCGCAGACTGCTGGACATAGATGTCGGTCCTGCGTTGCTCGCATCCAATTCGATTGATCGTCGGTCAACGTCAAGATTTACTGAACGAGCAACATTAGCCATTTCAATACTTATATTTGAATCCGACGTGTCAATTTTTGATTTGTTCTCTGTGCTTATTTCACTAGAGAGTCGGTCATAAAAATAAAATGTTACGAATTTATTGATCCCACCAGATTTGAACTTACGACCTTTGGGGTATTACTCGGGGTACTAAGCCAGTAGGTCACGACAAATCGAATAGAAAATAATTATTTCTGCGTACGATTGGCACGTCGTCAACTGCCTGTTCACCTTCGTTCGCTCATGCGCGCATACTTTAATACCGTGTAAATCTTAGGATATGTTGTTGCTGTCGCATTAGAAACATAGTTAATCCAGTTTCGATTTGCTTCGGCTATATTATATGTGAATTCCTTAGGTTTTTTTACGTAATTATCAGTAATTATCGTTATACATAAACAGTGGAAATTTATTCGTTCTTAAATACGTGAAATAGAACATACTATGTACCTTTCAAACGCTTACGAAATACCTGATGATAAGTGATTACCGCCGCGCAGGGAAATTGTAAGTGCGTTGCCGGTCTCAAGAACGGATAAGCTCTTTTCTTGAAGATTTCGATATCGTATCAGTTCGGAAATGTCATTGCTGAAAGGTGAATCTTATGAGTAACATTATAAATTAGCAGTTTTTTGTTTGTCACATTTTCACCTTTTAATGTTTTAAACAGTCATTATTAACTTTTTATCAGAAACTAGGCTATAATTCAGTAGTAATAATATTATAAATAACAAAATGTGTCTGTATGTGTTACCTTTTCAGAACTAAATGGCTGGTCGGATCTTAATGAAATTTGGCATTAAAATAGATCGAATCCAGAGGACAACTTTTAACTCAAAAATATCAGACGAAGTCGCAGAGATATTAGACATATAGTACTATTTATATATGTATCTGTCACATTTTCATGCTGTAAATGATAGGATTGAATGATTATGACGCATACACATAGCATTTAGAATGTAGGAGTACTGGGCCTATTTTGTATCACCATAAATTACAAGAACATAGTCCCGGAATCGAGTATCTTATAAAAGAAAATTGAAAATAGTTTAATTATTTTCCTCAATGAATCAACCGAATTTTTGGTGACAAATTGCATTCCCTACATTACGATGTGCATGAACGCTGTATGATTCAATACACCGGGACACCACATGTCATTCAATGTCAGTACGGCAATTGAGCCAAGTATTCCTGTATTCCAAGAAAGTGGAGGAAAGTCGCTCCAAAAATACTTCTAAAGTGTGCTCATACTCACGTCTTATGTTTTTCATCAGTGTGTCATTGGATGTTAAACCCCTTATTCATAAGATGATTTACGAATAATTGTTGTGTTTTTCTTATGGCTAATTTCTTAATTTAAAGTCGAAAGTCAAATAATTTAATCATGTAGGGCATTTTGTTTGTCAATGTTATTTAGAACTATAGGTGCGGTAGGGACGTTCAGTTTTGTTCGTTCGGACTGAAATCAATCGGACCCCAAATGGTTGGAATAAAATTTATGTCTCACAAATATTGCATGCTGAATAAATAGAAAAACCAACCACACGATTCGCAGTGCGTTCGATAGTCAATAGGTGATTTGATGGCTGACACACGACCTGAATAATTAACATAGATTCCCCATGTGACACGTTGATACATCTAGCGTCTGAGCAATGCACAGTGCGTTCCGATCAGTGATGCCAGATAGGCGAGAATCCTTCCAATTTGGGGGTATTTTATGCTGAAGAGAAATTCGTTTGAGAAGATAAAAATTGAAGTTCAGTTGAGAGTAAGGGAGTTTTGGTATATAGTAGTAGTAATAACGTCGCAGACTAAAAAGAATAAGAACACAAGTATTGTGACACTGCAAATTAAAATTTAGATTTAAAATAATTGTGGAATATTTACGGATTAAAATAAAGAACATAAGAAATGAAACTGGAGAAACTAGAACAATATTAATACGAGTATATGTGTGTAATAATCCAGGTTTATATTTAAGGGGAGCAAAGGTGATTTTTTTTAAACCTGCAATGGTTTCAAACGAGATTAAGTAAACTTTAAGGGGAAACCGTGACGGTCTTCTGGCAACACTGGTTGTGAGGGAGAGC